CATCCAATTCTCAGTCCCCCACAAAAAAAGGATGTAGGCTCACGCTAAAGGGTCCAGCGGAGGGCAACCAAACTGATTTGGGGGCTGGAACATATGACTTATGAGAGGAAGCTGAGGGATTTGAGTCTGGAGAAGAGAAGAGAAGAGAAGAGAAGAGTGAGGGGGAATTTGATAGCAGCCATCAGCTTTCTTAAAGGGAGTGCCAAAGAGTCTGGAGAGAGGCTGTTCTCAGTGGGGCAGATGGTAGAACAAGGAGCAATGGTCTCAAGTTGCAGTGGGGGAGGTTTGGTTGAAGATTAGGAAAATATCCTATTTCCTTAGGAGGGTGGGGAAGCACTGGGATGGATTCCCTAGGGAGGGGGTGGAATCTCCATCCCTAGAGGTTTTGACAAAGCCCTGGATGGGATGATTGAGTTGGGGCTGGACTCTACGACTCCTTAGATCTCTTCCAGCCCTGGAAGAAGAGCCCAGGAGAACTAGCTTTAGGCAGGTTTGGAATTCACCCCAAGGTGTCTTGTCTTTCAACTGCAGGAGTAAAAGCTGCCAATGTAGCCTAGGGATTTCTGCAGCTCCCAGGGCTGAGCTAATCCCATGGCAACTTCACCTCCTCAATGAGATGTCATGATGATTGATTCTGAGGTAACACAAATGCTTAAAACAGTCAGCCCCACCTCCCCTGCCCCTGCAGCTGTGAGTTCCTGACACCCGGCCGGCCCTGTACCAGCCCAGCCAATCACCACTGAACTTCACAGCAGAGAGCAAACCAATTAATAAGTGTACCCGTAAGATTCCTTCTTACCGGTTCACTCCCCAGTTAGCCATGGAACACCCCAAACTAGTATTGTGGGAACATGCTAGCACCGCGTATGTTTAAGGTGCCATTGGAAATGTTACACTTTGCTGACTGTGATTCATTTGGTTTGTGTTCCTTCCTTCTTTTTGTGTCTCTTGTTATTGGTAAGGCGCATGTATCTTTACTCCCAGTGTATTTACACAGCGGTACCCACACTGCGGAAGGGGCTTTCAGAGCAGACAGATCACTGAGCCCTGTAATGAGACATTAGGGAGAACAACAGGCCTCAGGAGAAGCCCAAATCCCACAGACGGAGCCTTCCTGAGACTGCTCCAGAGAGACAATTCAAAATTACCTGTTGTTGTGATTCTACGAAGTCAGGGGATCAGGCCCCATGACGCTGGGTCCCTCCTCCCATGTTGTTTTTCCACAGCCTGGTCCAGGGAGCAGTTTTGACACAAAGGATCCCCCCTTTGCCAGAGCTATATAAGCAGGGGCAAATCAGCAGTGAAATCAGAAGACACCCGGAAGGAGCTGAGGAAGACAGACTGACCTGGGGGAAGGGCTGGACCCAGGCTGAAGGCGTCTTACCTGGTGTTTGCAAACCCAAGAACTCCCACCTGGAAAGCAAATGCAACTTGGGCCTTGAGAAGCTGCCAGACGGCCGGTCCCATCCCTCCGGGTGAGAATCTGCTTCTTCCTCCTGACTCTGCCCCGTGTGTTCTGCAGAGTTTATGTTTGGTTAGCTGCTGATAATCTGCGTTGCTGTCCCTGATAGCTACTACTGTTTGCAGTTAATTAACTTGTGTGTAATGTTACCATACCTGTGAGCCTTGAAGTGAAATGTGTGGGGAAAAGTTCTCCCCTCGTGGGCATTTTCCTCTCCACGCTGGGGGGTGTGAGCAGGATAACAAATTTCTCCCTGTTGTTGGTTCAACCTGGCTCAGGTGGTGCAGCCCTGGGGTGGTACCCTGGGCTGCCGGTGGTTACCTCGACTTTAGCTTTGCTCAGCAGTGTCCAGTCAGGGAGCCCTGCGTGTCCCTGCAGAGGATTGTATCCCTAGTGTTTGTGTGCACGAGGAAGTGCAGGAGTGGGGTGTGGTCTGCAGCCGGCCACAGCAGCACAGCGCGAGCGGGATCCCAGGCTGGGGGCTCAGAGGCTCAGGGGATCCCCAGCTCCAGGTGGAACCTTGGGGGCCACCCCAGCCCAGACGAGCTGTAGGAAAATCTGCCTAGGACAGAGCAATGGGCGGCTCTTGGATTTAGAACATGGGAACGGCCAAGCAGGGACAGTGCAAAGGTCCATCTGCTCCAGGTCTCTGTCTCCCAGCACTGGCCGACATCAGGGGCTTCTGAGGGAGTTCTTGGAACAGATTCATCTCCTGATCAACTGATTCATCCCCTTTCGCTCCTTCCCCTTCCTCTTGTGCTGTGTTATTGCTGGATTTTAGGCCAAAATGTCACTGGTGTTGGGTGTGTGATCTCTAGACTCTATTTACAAACTGGGGGAAGTGATTCTTTATACAATTCACCTCCCTCCAAGCAACTGTGCAACGTGAGTAAAGAGAGCCTGGTATCTGATGGGCTGCCTTATGCACATCGTCAGACCCATCCTTTCCCACGAGTCACCTTCCCATCCGTAGCCCCCTGCCACGTATTCTGTGAATAGATTCAAAAGGAAGGCCAAACTGCACTTTCCTTAACAGCATCCTGCGTGTGCGCGTGCGCGTGCGCGTGCGCGCGTGTGTTCCTTTACAGGATATGTGCTAGGATCTGTGTCTCCCCTCCCAGTCCCAGAATGCCCAGTAGCAGAGGGAAGTTGTGTTTCACGAGACAGCTATACACCACCACCTTTCCTGTCCTACATGCGAAGCCCTGTCTCTTGAACCGATGTCCCGGTATTTTTTTAATCCAAGTGCAGAATAAATTTCAGAATGTGAAGTATTATACATAACCTACATCTGTGCACAGCTGGTTGGAGACCCCACTGCAGAAAATAATATTGATTTTAAAAATTTGCTATAGTGATCATTTCTCCATCCAGGACATGCCAGGCTTTTTAGCATTCACTCTTAAAGAGGTAAATGGAAGTATGTGAGAGAGAGCAAATGAAGAATTGCACAGACCAGTTACAGAACCACTATAAGAACACTTTGGAAGAATCGAATTACAGAGAATAGATGGGCCTTTCGGAAATTATAAGAACATCACAATTCTGTGTTGGGAAGTGAGTGTAAAAGAGACTCTGTGCATGCGTGTGTTTTTGGAGACTGTGTTTGTAAGCTATCCAAAATGTCTGTATTCATGTAAGACACTGAATGACCCAGTGTGTGGAGCTTTGCGGGAACACAACCTCCCTTGAAGGAGACCCTTGCTGTTTTAACAAAGACCTGAACTGTGGGTGCACAATAGACCATCAGGTGCCCAACTCTCTTTCACACTGACGTAGGCAACCCTCAACTTACAACCCTCTGCATTTACAACCATTTTTTCATGCGAGATAGCTCCTAAAATCCTCCAACTTATGTGTACAGTTCACATTTATGACGGTGTACGACGCAGACGCCATGCATCATCCCAAAACAGGAAACGTCCAGAGTCAGTCAGACTCGCCAGTCTACAGCTGCTGCCTGAACTGTGCACGTCTGCACCACATAGGCCTTCACTTTTTAGTTATTTCTGTGCATTATTTGAACTATTAAATTTAGTTTTCCTCCATTTTCATAGTCAATTTTGGTATTTTTAGGGTATGAAATGTATTTCTAGGAACGGAGCTGCCTATGGGAAATAAGGGTTCGACTTACGACAGTTCTCCAGGAACCAATTAGGTTGTACGTGCGGGGGTCGCCTGTAGTTGGCTGGCGTCTACATCCCTTAGTTTCTCTTAAAACTCACAGCCGATGTCAATAAGGTGACAGAATATTTCCTCGCATGGCCTGTGTTTGGAGTGCCAGGCCTAGAGGTGAGACTGATCTGGGAGCTTGAGTCAAGAATCTTTGAAATTTTTCAAATTGGGAGCATTTAATTTTTTCCTCTTATAAAGCAGCTCTCCATCCTGACTCTATTCCTTCCCGTAAACCTGATGCAATTAATCCTGGAGTATCTCAGATCAAATAACAGCCCACTTGGGGAGGGCATTTAGGGTGGGGTCCTTTCTGTGACCTTTTCTGTTTCCCAGCTGCATCGTTGAAAAGGTGAGATTTTTTTTCTTTGTATCTTCTGCAATACCGGATACTTGCTAGACCTTCATATTGAACCCTGGTGTTTTGGTTTTTCTCTTATAACACAATCTTTGATTGAGCTCCGGTGCTAACAATAACACTGTAGCTTCAGAAGCACAGACCGGATGCCCCCAGCCCAATCCTGTCTGAGATCCAATGTACGCACACAGCAGTGTGTCCCAAACCTCTGCTCATGCTGCCGGGTTCTCACTGCTAATTTTATGCTGCTAACTTGATCAAGGCTGGGGCACGTTACCCCAGCTGGGAATGACACCTCCCAGCTGCAGGGCAGATGTATCCCTGTTTGAATTTTAAATATCCTTCCTTTCCAATCCACTGACTTTTCTCGTCTCCTCAACACTGGATGTAACGACACTGAGGTGATGAAGGTATTTCAAAATCCCAGCCCAAAACTCTTTAATGATCAAGATGGTGCAAGGCATCTTGCTGAGATGATGCTGTACCTCACTAATGTTGCATGCACTTGCTTCTCCTCTATGGAAAGCTCAATCTCTTAGGGTGTGTCTAGACTACAGGGTTTTGTCGACAAAAGTGGACTTTTGTCGACAAAACTAAACCTGCGTCTACCCTACCGATGAGTTCTGTCGACATAACGTCGACAGAACTCAGCAGTTTTGTCGATGCTGGTAAACCTCATTTTACGAGGAATAACGCCTTCTGTCGACAGAGTTCTGTTGACAGAAGGCGTTATTGCATGTAAACTGTCCTTTGCGTCTACACTGCCATATCGACAAAGCAGCTTGCTTTGTCGACAGAACTGGATGTAGTCTAGACGCTCTTTGTCGACAGAAGCCTGTAGTCTAGATGTACCCTTAATGAAATGGGTCTTCCTACGCTCATAGACAACTTCATTTTCCATGTGGAGAGACATGGTGATCCCAGGTTTCTAGCTGTGGAGCGGACAGCACAGCTTGTCTGCAGGTGCTCCCTAAATATTTGATATTTTTCTGTTTCTAGATATGTATTATGGAAAAAGCAGAAGGAAGAAACCGAACGCTCATCGTGGAACTGATCCTTGTAGGGTTTGAGATCGGCCCTGAACTGCAGCCCCTCCTCTTCCTGGTGTTTCTACTGATCTACATTGTAGCTATGACTGGAAATCTCCTCATCATTGTGCTAGTGGTGGCTGATCTGAACCTTCACACCCCCATGTACTACTTTGTAGCCAACTTGTCCACTGTGGAGATCTGCTACATCTCCACCACCCTGCCCAGGTTGATTGGTAGTCTTGCGACTGAGGACAGAACCATTTCTCTGCAGAACTGCCTTGTGCAATTTGATGTCTATACTATCCTCTCCAATGCAGAATGCGGGCTGCTCACGGCCATGTGTATTGATCGGTATCTAGCGATCTGCCATCCCCTCCGTTACGCTGCTCTGATGAACGGCAGGGTGTGTTGCCACATGGTGGCCTGGGCCTGGATATTTGGCATTTCCTATAGCATCATGCTACAAATTATCAGGGTGAATTTAAGATATTGTGGTCCCAATGAAATTGACCATTTCTTTTGTGATTTTGCAACCGTTAAAGGTCCGTTCTGTGGTGTTACCCAGACTCTGGAACTGCTCCCATTGGTTTTGTCTCTCCTATTGACGATTGGGGTCTTTCTACTGACCCTGGTGTCCTACATTTGTATCATCGCCAACATCCTGAGAATCCCTTCTAGCTCTGGGAGGCAAAAGGCCTTTTCCACCTGCTCCTCCCACCTCATCGTGGTTGCAGTTTACTATGTGAGCGTAATGACAGTCTATGTCGTTACACTGTTCAATCCTCCCGTGATCCTCCACAAAATAATGTCTGTCTGGTTCGCAATCCTGATCCCGTTGCTCAACCCCGTCCTCTACAGCCTGAGAAACAAGGAGGTGAATCAATCCCTGAGAAAAGCTCTGCTGAAACTGGTTGCTTTGAGACACCGACATGGAGTGTGAAACTTCAGATTTTGACATATAGTAAAATAGAGATAAACTGGAATATTTCAGTGAGACCTTGACATAAGGTTAAGCTCTAAATGACCTTACATCACCTTGTTTCTTTCTCGTTTTCTTGCTTTGTGCTTTTCTCCTATTTTCTCAGCTTTTATCTTTCATATCAGCCGTGCATTTTAGTGACACGCTCCACGTCACTCATCTGCACATGAACAAGAGGAGTACAGGATCTTTCAAAACAGGACATTTCTGTCAAAAATGCCTCATCTAAACTACCGTTTTTTTTTTTTAAAGTCATGTTTCGGAAAAAAAGCAGCAGATGCCATTATGCAAATGAAGTGTGGAATATTTAAATCCCCACTTCATTTGCACTTTCGAGGTGTCTAATTTACATCCTTCTGCCGACATACCCTAATAGAATCACAGAATCCCAGGGCTGGGAGAGACCTCAGGAGGCATCGAGTCCAGCCCCCTGCCCAAAGCAGAACCAAACCAGACTAAACCATTCCAGCCAGGGCTTGGTCAAGCCTGGGACTTAAAAAACTCTAGGGATGGAGATTCCACCCCCTCCCAAGGGAACCCAGCCCAGGGCTTCCCCACCCTCCTAGGGAAATAGTTGTTCCTAATATTCCAACCTAACCCTCCCCCACTGTAACTTGAGCCCATTGCTCCTTGTTCTGCCACCTGCCACCACTGAGAACAGCCTCTCTCCATCCTCTTTCGAACCCTCCTTCAGGCAGTTGAAGACTGCTACCGAATCCGCCCTCGTTCTTCTCTTCTGCAGACTAAACAAACCCAAATCCCTCAGCCTCTCCTCATAGGTCATGCGCTCCAGCTCCCTCATCCTTTTCATTGCCCTGTGCTGGGCCCTCTCCAGTATGTGTCCACCCCCTTTCTGCAATGGGGGGCCTAGAACTGGACACAATACTTCTGATGTGGCCTCACCAGACCCACAAGGACAGGACACGAGCACCCAAAAGCTACCGGTAACTTTGCCAGTCTCAGTCTACATTGCTGCCAATGGGCCTCCTTCCTCCTAGGCAGAAATGCAGTCTATGCGTGAACATTTTACCACCAAAATGTGAGAAAAACCTGAACTAAATAATAAAATCTCTCTACACTAAGTCTTCTGCTCTGTTAGTTCATGCTCCATATTTGTGGGACCACGGGTGGGTGAATACCAGTCCCCAGACCGGATCTGGTTTCCCAGGGTTAATTTCTAGCAGGCTCTCCCTCTGTATTTACCGTCTTGGTGACAGGTACCGGTGATCACAGCTCCCATTGGCCATGGATCACCATTCTTGGCCAATGGGAGCTGTGGGAAGCAGTGTTCTTGTTTGTACTGTTTCCCGCCACTCCCAGTGGCCAAGAATGGGGACCCACAGCAAATGGGAGCTACGCTCGCTGGTACCTGTGTCTCTGCAGGTAAATTTAGCAGCTGGAGCTAACCCTGGTGAACAGCCATGGTGCGAATGCCCACACGTGGGCTGGGCTAGCACAGGGAAGAAGAAAAGTTGGCAGCAGGGTCTCCCAGGTACCAGTCTCCTGTGACTGGGAGCTGGATGCCCACAGCTAGACAGGAGGCAGGTGGACCGGAGCAGGGGGAGTGAGACTGTTTCTCCATTTTTGGCAGGAGAGGCAGGGAGATAGGGGCTGGGGCTGTGTCTATGATCCCAGCTGCCCAGCTCTGTGACGTAGTGGGGGGTACCTTGCTGGTTGCTATGCTGGGCAGTGGGTGGTAAGTGACCTCCACTGGCTGCTGGCTGCAGCATGGCCCAGCAGGGCAGGGGATGAGTCATTATGCAAAGGGGGCTCCAAACCTGCCTGACCAGTTATCTCCAAGGAGTGGAACAATGGGAAGAAGGGGAGTGGAGCCCTGGCTGGGAGTAGGGCTGGCAGTGAGTTGGTTAGTTTCGGTCTGGCAGCATGGAGGAGACAGCTTAGGGAAAGGGGCTGGAATTTAGGGGCCCAGTCTCCCCCATCTCAAGGGGAGCTGAGGCATCCTAGGCCTGCCCTGTAACCAGATTACATCTGTGCTGTGCTGTATCCTGGAGAAGCAATAAACACCCTCTATTCTACTGGCTGGTGGAGTCTGACCATGCCATTACAGGGGTGCAGGAGACGGGAAAACCCCAACGCTTCGTCACACTCTCACTCAGGTTTCATGGAGTAGCGGGGAGACTGGACATCTGGTGAGGGATGACTCTATTAATATGTTGGGAGCCAAATCTGGGGGATCAATGGGAGTCGCACTCATCCAATACATGCCAGAGTCACAGATGGAACTGGCAGCACCTCACAAATCAAACAGTGTCCCTTTGAGACAGGAAGACAGCAACGCCCGGGAGGCAGCAAGTGTGACTATTCAGGGTGATAGAAGACATGAGGAAAGAGGTGAGCAATGCTCAACACAGAAAAGGAGCATTCAATCCGGGATGTTCCACTGACGGGACCGAAGTACACCCGAGGGTAAGCAAGGGATGGCAGGGGAATAAGACGTACGGCACAGCACAAATGGTTTGACCAGAGGGCAAGATATAGAAGCTACACTTTGGTGACACTGCTGTGTCCTTGGTTGGTTGGGAATCTTATGGCTTTTCCCCCCAACCATTCTGGATCCGCACAAAGACACTCCTGTGGATGGCACCCCCTGGGAAGTGTGGAACGTGCATGGTTTCTGGACACCCTAGGGTCATGAGGATTCAGCTTGTAAGCTTCTGCACATGGGATTAGAGCTGGGTGTAGCAGCAAAGGCAGAAGAACCTTATACTGCTGTGTGAAAGAGGGAACTGAGGCACGCCAGCTCATGGCAATGGTCATTAATACCAAGACAATTATACATGTAGGCTACGTCTACACTGGCCCCTTTTCCGGAAGGGGCATGTAAATTTCACGAGTCGTCGTAGGGAAATCCGCGGGGGATTTAAATATCCCCCGCGGCATTTAAATAAAAATGTCCGCCGCTTTTTTCCGGCTTTTAAAAAAGCCGGAAAAGAGCGTCTAGACTGGCCCCGATCCTCCGGAAAAAGCGCCCTTTTCCGGAGGATCGGGGCCAGTCTAGACGCTCTTTTCCGGCTTTTTTAAAAGCCGGAAAAAAGCGGCGGACATTTTTATTTAAATGCCGCGGGGGATATTTAAATCCCCCGCGGATTTCCCTACGACGACGAGTGAAATTTACATGCCCCTTCCGGAAAAGGGGCCAGTGTAGACGAGCCCGGGATATTTAAATCCCCCGCGGATTTCCCTACGACGACTCGTGAAATTTACATGCCCCTTCCGGAAAAGGGGCCAGTGTAGACGTAGCCTAAAAGTAATTGCTATGTGCACTCTGGGGTCAGTGTAACAGCCCAGGGGACAGGAGTCCAGGTCTGCAGAAAAACTCCTTGGTAGGACAGCTCAGAGTTTGGGAACACTGCTTGATTGTGAACCCTACGCCTCAGGGAATGTTTGACTGCATGGTCTCTGCACTGGCCACTGGCCAACCCTTTCGCAAAGATCTCCGGAGGGAGCTGTGATGGCCCCTCACGCTTTATGAAAATCAGTTTGCGAATGTGACTAGCAACGACAGGGAGACAATTTGGGCCAAGTGCCTCATGCCCCTGACCTATGTCATGTTCCAGGAGGCTGGATGGGATGTAGCATGGGGTACGCGTCATTCTTGTGTATGAAGTTAGAAAAGTGACGTGTCCATCTGCGTATCATTGTCAATCTTCTCACGAGCCATTCCTGGTGCCTCAGAAGCCTAGTGTTACAATCTGCTGAAACTGTCTGTCCTATTTCAGTGCATGTGTCATTCTACTATATAGAATCATAGACTAGGTTTTGTGTGGGCTTCTCAAAGAGGTTCCAGACTGTCAGCCTGGAGCACAGAACACCCCAAAACTAGCACACTAGAACTGGAAGGAGTCTTGAGAGGTCATCAAGTCCAATCCCCTGCTCGATCAATCTCACAGGTTTTCCGAATGTCCAACCAAAACTTCCTTTGCTGCATTTGAAGCTCATTGCTTCTTGTCCTGTCCTCAGAAATCAAGGAGAAAAAGTTTTCCCCCTCCTCCTTATAACACCCTTTTGGCTAATTCAAAACCATTATCGTGACCCCTCTCAGTCTCCTCCATGTGTGGGGGGAAGAAGAGCAGGATGAGGACACAGGATGTGCAAGAGTGAGGGGTGGGGTGTAAGAAAGGACTCAGATGTGGGGTCCCAGCCTATAGGGATTTTTCTCACTGGCCAGCCCCCCCACTCCCTGAAAGGCAGGGACCTTCTGTCCCTCAACCCCTCAAGCCACCCCAAGTGTCCCCCCAAGTCCTTCTGGCTTAAAGGGTCTTCTTTTCTCTGTCCAGCCCTTGTGACCAACAGGGGTCTTCTGTCTTTACCTCCAACCTTCTTCTCCAGTCACGTGGGACTTTCTGTCTCCCCGAAGCCTCCAGTTTCCTCCCCTCACCCTCAACCAGTTGGGACCAGAGCCAAGGGGCAACGTTTGGGGGCACACGCCAGCCCTGCTATCATTTCTCTCGCTGATGTGGCTGCGCCATTATTCTGAGTCCCCCAACACCTGCCCTAGTTTCTGCACCTCCCAATGACACGACCTCCCCCACACCCAGCTCCCTACTTTGGTGCCTGCGCCTCTCACCTGAGACCCAGATCCTCGTGCTGACTCTTACACAGCCAAACCTGAGCCCCATCTGCCAAAACTCCCTATCCTGACCTGCATATCCCACCTCTGCCTTATGTTCCCACCCCTTGCCGTGATTGTGGCAAATTCACCCTCTGTCATGAGCCTACCACAAACACACCCCCAATTCCCTGCTCTGTTTCCTGTGCCCCTTGGAATAGCCAATTGTTCATGACACAGGATGTGCTGCCCACAGGAATCCAGCACTTGGCCTGCTCCAGAAAGTGTTTGGTACCCAGGTATCTGTCAAGCGCATACTAGGGGCTCATTGTTAGTAGCAGAACTAGAACATACATCTCCTGAGTGCTGAGCATGGCCATGTGGGTCAGGAAGTCCAGTGTGACAGGAAAAGATGCAGGCTCGGTGTGTCAAAGGGGCTCCCTGAAGTTAATTAATGTTGCAAATGTAACTTCCGTTAGACCCTTTGCCAATCCCACCGAATTCGGAGGAGGACGAGGTCTGTGGTGACAAGGTTCACAGGGACGGAGTTTCCCCAGCTCTCATCATCAGGTGCTGTAAGATCGAGAAATGGAAATTTCAGTTGGGGAGCTGGGGCTGATGCTGCCTCCCAGCCCCATGGTAGGTTGGGATGCCCACGCCACTCAGGAGATGTGAAGGGTTGCCCAAGTCTCTATGGCAACAGAGGGGAGCACTGGGTGACGTGTTGTCATGGAGCTCTCCTAGAGCCTGGATCACTCCCCAGTTCAGACTCCACATGGCCCTGCCCTGCCAGAGATCGTGCCTTTTGGAGGCCTCACTCCCTGCAGGCCCCACGTTTCAGTGCCACTGTGACGGGGAAGCCGATCCCCGCACTCAACCCAGCTGTCCGGCGGGTGCCGGCAGCCGGAGAGGCCTGGATACGGCCGCTGAGGGTGAATGGTGGCCCGTGGGTGGAGCCCAACTTGGAGTGCACGGGACGTGGGCGGGAGGCGAGGAAGGGGAGATCAAAGCTAGGTGCTAGGACCCAGGAGGGGCGGACTTGCACGCTGAGCGTAGGGGGGTGGGACTCCGCCCGGGATGCTCAAAGGAGGGGCCTTAGGAGTCAAACAGGGGGAGGAGAGCAGGGGCTGACAATGCTACACTTAATGCACCCCAATATGCCAGTAGCCTTCTTGGCTACATGGCAACACTGTCGATTGATATCCAGCTTCTCATCTACTGTAATCCCCAGGTCTTTTTTTGCTTAATTGCTTCTTGGTCAGTCAGTCCCCAGACCGTAGCCATGCTTCGGATTCATCCTATTCATTGTAGGACTCTGCACTTGTCCTTGTGGAACCTGGTGAGATTTCTTCTGGTCTATTCCTCCAATTTGTCTTAAGTCCCCCCTCCTCCAGTGTATCAACCTCTCCCCACACCTCTGTGTCCTCTGTCAACTTGCTCAGGACCCATCCCCTCGTCCAGACCATGAATGAAGCTCTGAAGCAAAATCAGCTCCAGGACCAACCTCTAGAGCACCTGTTTTATATCAGCTGCCAACTAGACATTGAGCCATAGATATTGATCATTGAGCCTGATGATCTACCCAGTTTTCTGGACTATGCTCTGCCATGACAATCTGAAATCTCTCTCAGAAACCCGCACAAAATGGTCATTTTATTGAAAATCCAATTTCTTTAAAGGGAAGACTGACGGAAAAATATGGAAACGCCAAGTGTGAACAATAGCTAGTTATCCCAAGAGTCTGAGTGACAGAGTAAGGAACAGCCATGCCTGGGCCAAGCCAGCTGACTAAGGGTCAGGTGATATTTTATTGCTAGGAAGACATTCAGGTCTGGGCTGCAACACAAGGTTTGGATCCCTTCCACATCACAGGGTCCTAGATCCCATCCTCCAGAACTCTACACAGCAATGAAATAGTGCCATGAGCCCTTGTAAGAAAGGGATAGGAAATAAGACACAGAATATCTTACTGCCCCTGTATAAAACTATGGTATGCCCACATCTTGAGTACTGCGTACAGATGTGGTCTCCTCACCTCAAAAAAGATATCTTGGCTTTGGAAAGAGTTCAGAAAAGGGCAACTAAAATGATCAGGGGTTTGCAACAGGTCCCATATGAGGAGAGGCTAAAGAGACTGGGACTTTTCAGTTTGGAAAAGAGGAGATGGAGGGGGGATATGATAGAGGACTATGAAATCATGGGTGGTGTGGAGAGGATGAATAAAGAAAAGTTATTCATTAGTTCCCATAATATAAGGACTAGAGGACACCAAATGAAATTAATGGGTAGCAGGTTTAAAATCAACAAGCGAAAGTTCTTTACACAGTGCATAGTCAGCCTGTGGAACTCCTTGCCAGAGGAGGCTGTGAAGGCTAGAACTATAACAGAGTTTAAAGAGAAGCTAAATAAATTCATGTAGATTAGGTCCATAAAAGACTATTAGCCAGGGGATAGAAATGGTGTCTCTGGCATCTGTTTGTCAGAGGCTGGAGATGGATGGCAGGAGACAAATCACTTGATCATTGTCTTTGGTCCACCCCCTTTGGGACACCTGGTGCTGGCCACTGTCAGCAGACAGGATACTGGGCTAGATGGACCTTTGGTCTGACCCAATACAGCCGTTCTTATGTACCAACGCTGAGGTCACCAAGGTCCCCAGATGTGAGGTGGAACTCCCAGCCACACTACACAGCACTCCCAGCCCCAGCTCAGAGCCTCTCTCCTATTCCCCTACCGGGTCAGAAACCAACCCCCCTACACCTCATCCTATTCCCCGACTGAGTCAGAAACCAACCCCCCTACACCTCATCCTATTCCCCTACCGGGTCAGAACCCAACCCCCCTGCACCTCATCCTATTCCTACAGGGAAGGGGGAAGGGAGGGGTTTTGTGGGAAAGGTACAATAGGATAAGGCACAGACCCCGACTGGGGAGGCCCTGAAGAGAGTTCCTGGGGTCCTTGAGAGAAACTCTCCCTCAGGACCTCCCAGATGCGCACCCCCACCTGGCGGATGGCAGCGGTGTACAGCTGCTTGAAGGCCCTTCCCTGCTGGCTGGCCTCTGGCCCTCATCCAAGTAGCGAGGCCTCCCTCTTGCTCTCCACAATGTTGTGGAGAACCCCACAGGCCGAGCCCACCTCAGGGATGCTGTGCTTCCCTATGTCCAGGAAGGTCAGGAGGCACCTGAATTGCACCTTCAAGCACCCAAAGGCGCATTCTATCTCCATGTGGGCCCTGCCCAGGCTGGCACTGAATTGGTCTCTGCTTGGGTCCTGGTGTCCAGGCTCCAGAAGCATCTCTCCACTGTGAGGTGTGGGTGCAAGGGCCTCGCTCCCCCTCACAGTGGAGCACAAAGTGCTGCAGAAACTGCAGCCTGACCATGCGGGGCCATCGTGTGCCCAGAGCCAGCTCCAGTTCCATGGCAAAGAGTGCTGCGGTGTCCAAAAGCTGGGCAACCAGAGCACGCACTGCTAAAGCTTTGTTGTCCTTCGGAGAGGCTGGCAAGCAATCAGCAGAAGCAGGGAAATGGCTGTCCAGGGGGGTCTGTTTCAGCACGTCTCAGCTAGCCTTAGGCAATAGCACATGGAAACAACAGCTGACCTAATGCCCTCCTTGAACTGGTTCAAGATAAGGTTTTCTGGAAGAGATCTTCTGGACAAGATTATTCCAAAAGAAGCTTGTAGTTTAGATGTAGCCTAGATCTCTGGAAGCGATTTTCCCGCCCCCCAAAAAAGAGAGCATCCACAATGCAAAAGCACATAAAAAAGTGAACTGCTTTTTTGACAGATAGGGCACATCTAGATTACAAGCCTCTCTTTTGAAAGAGGTCGTCTAGACGGCCACAACGTTTTTGAAAAAGCAAGCCACATTTTCAAAAGATAGGAGCCAGGCAATCGGCACGCTTTCTTTCGAAAAAGCCCTGTTTGCGTTCAAGAGTGCCTTTTCTGAAAGAGCTCATTTGAAAAAAGGTGTTCTTCCTCATAAAATGAGGCTTACCACTGTTGAAACATCCACCACTTTCTTTCAATTTAATTTCGAAAAACGTGGTGGCAGTCTAGAGGCAGCGGAAGGTTTTTTCTCAAAAAAGGCCACTTTTTTTTTATGAAATAACCAGGTAATCGAGACAGAGCCATAGTTTTCATACTGAATGGACTCTATCGTGCATGTAAGCTGTGATTCCTATGGACAGAGTAGTCACTAGGGCACCTGTGCTTTTTCTTCTTTACACTTCTGGCAAAAGAACTCCCTCTTCCCCATCCACAGTTGTCTTTTTCTGAAAGAGCTCTTTCGGAAAAAAGCGTCTTCCCTGTAAATCAGGATTACCAATGCCTGAAAGCCCCTTCTGTTCTTTCGATTTACTTTCAGAGGAACACAATTGCAGTGTGAAAGTAACTCAGGTTTTGTCAGAAAAATGGCTGTTTTTGCAACAAAATTCTGTAGTGTAGACATACCCAAAGTGAAGAAAGAAAGAAAGAAAGAAAGAAAGAAAGAAAGAAAGAAAGAAAGAAAGAAAGAAAGAAAGAAAGAAAGAAAGAAAGAAAGAAAGAAAGAAAGAAAGAAAGAAAGAAAGAAAGAAAGAAAGAAAGAAAGAAAGAAAGAAAGAAAGAAAGAAAGAAAGAAAGAAAGAAAGAAAGAAAGAAAGAAAGAAAGAAAGAAAGAAAGAAAGAAAGAAAGAAAGAAAGAATTTCTTTTATCCAAGACACAAATGAGTTTAACAAAATGTATCAGTTCATCCCTATTTTGTGATAGACTTCAATTCGATCTTTTGATTTCTATACCTATTTCTGAAAGCTATGACTTTCAGAATAGTTTTTCTCAGGGACTGATGGACCTCCTTGTTTCTCAGGCAGTAGATGAAGGGGTTGATCATGGGATTCAGGACTGTGTAGAAGACAGAGAGTATTTTGTGTAAGACCTTAGGAGTATTGGCCGTTGGAACCACATACACAGCGATCAACGTCCCATAGTAAATTGTAACCACAGTGAGGTGGGAGGAGCAGGTGGAAAAGGCCTTTTGCCTCCCAGTTCTGGAAGGGATTCTCAGGATGGTGGTGATGATGCAAATGTAGGACGTCAGGGTCAGAAGAAAAGGAACAAGTGTCCCTATGGCAGAGATAATAAATGTTACCAGTTGCACAGTCTGAGTATCAACACAGGCCACTTTTATCATGGGTAAAATATCACAAAAGAAATGGTCAATCTCTTTGGAATCACAGAACTGTAAATGGAAGAAGAAAGTATAGACTATGGTGCACAGCAGGAAGGCAATTATCCAGGACCACACCACTAGCTGGCCACACACCCTGCTGGTCATCAGGGCAGAGTAGCGAAGGGGGTGGCATATGGCTACGTACCGATCGTAGAACATGGCCGTGAGCAGCAGACATTCTGCAGCTGAAATGATGCCAAACAAATATGACTGCACAATGCAGCCCTTCACCGAGACGGCTCTGTCCCCCGTCAGGAGACTGGCCAGCAGCCGGGGCAGGATGGCGGAGGTGTAACAGATCTCCAGGAAGGACAAATTCCCCAGTAAGAAGTACATGGGGGTGTGAAGGTGCAGATCGGCCACCACTAGCTCAATGATGAGAAGGTTCCCGCCCATTGTTGCAACGTAGATCAGCAGAAACAGCAGGAAGAGAAGTGGCTGCAGTTCAGGGCCATCCCCAAATCCTAGGAGGATGAATTCAGTAATTATAGTTTGATTTCTTCCTTCTGCTTTCTCCATAAGGGATACCTAGGGACAGAAAACCATGACAGATTGATCGAGTGCACCCGGTCAGCTTGTGCTGTCCAGTGCATAGGGTAGGTCACCTTGTACCAATGCAGCTCTCTGTTCGGTGAATGAAGTTGTCAATCAGCAAAATGACTTATATTATTAAGAATTTGTGCTGCTGATATAGGTGAATGAAGCATATGAAACTGTATTGATTATAGAAATGTGCAGTCTGACACCCGGATTTCCATCTGGGACTTTGAAATCTCTTCTCATAGCAGCATCAAAGCAATAAATCTCGAAGACATAATAAAAAAAGTTTGGAAAGGCATTCAACCAAGGGGACAACTACGTTGTAACTCATGGGTGGGCAGTAAAATGGCAGTGGTTCACCAGGGTTAGCCGCTGGTGAGACATTGCCATTATATTTACTTGTGCCACCGCAGGTACAGGTGATCACAGCTCTCACTGGCTGGGAACAAGGACCCGTATCCAACGGGAGCTGTGATTCCCCCATAGCTGTGGATGTCCAGGTAAATATGGCAGTATGATAGCCCATCAAATGCTGAACCAGGCAGACTGGATCCAGCTCATACACTGGTATTTTCCCAACTGTGCTGTAGCTCATAAGCGTAATTCCCAGTTTAGGTCAATGTACGAGCATGAGTTTGGATCAAGGTAGCAGGATAAAATGAGCAGTGAGAACTGAACAGCAAAGTCTGTGGTTTCAGATACCACCTGTGTGTGTTCCTAAGATCTAAAATGGGGTTGTTTGCAGAGAGGGAGAGATTGTTTATTTCCCCAAATTTTATGAGCTGTAAAATACAGACCTGTTAAAACATAGTAGCAGATCCTTGCTGTTAAACTAAAAGTATCAGTGCCAATATATCTGAAAACTCTCATTTACTTTCCCCTGCAGATGTTGTGATATACCCTACTTTCTAATCTCTTCTTCTACTTTCTTAAGATGCACTCATATAAACTATGCCTACACTGCGTGTGGCAACAATATATTGACATGGGTGCCACATAAATGTATTTGATAAAAATGGAAATCCAACAAACCCACACACATGTAGAGAAGAGACATTATTTGTATTCATATTTTTCTGAGCTTTTAGCAGGTTTTATGTCCTCAGAGGTGTCATCATTTAAATAATTCTATATATTTTACTGTGTTTTTTAAAAATGTGTAGCCGCTTTGCATATTTCATCTAGAAAGGCGGAGTAAAAATAGTTCAAATAAAAACAAACAATAAAACAAATTAAAACTCATGTGGTCAAACATAAACCACATGCACAAGGAGACAAGAAGATAGGTAAATTCCTGGAGGTTGGGTCCATCAACGGCCGTTAGGCAGGATGGGCAGGCATGGTGTCCCTGGCCTCTGTGTGCTACAAGCTGGGAATACTTGAAAAAGAATGGGTCACTTTGTCATTCCCTCTTCTGTTCACTCCCTCTGGGCACCTGGCATTGACAACTGTTGGAAGACAAGACTCTGGTCTAGATGGACCTTTGGTGTGGCTCAGTGTGGGTGTTATTACGTTCTTAGTCGAAGAACCATCCATGGCCCTTTCTTAGACACATATTGCGGTAATCCAGCTACTTTGTATTTACTTTCTCACCTCAATCATATTCAATCAGAGATGGTGGATGCCTAAAAAGGCTTTTTTCTTTTCTAAATTAGATTTTTTCATTTAATTGTTCCGCTTAATATTACACAGAGTTGATCTAATGATGGATTTGCCAAATGCTTGCCCTTCCTTTACATATTCATACTACAATTTCCATTCTTTTCTATTATTGATAGTTTTCAATTATGTCAGAAAGCGGTCTTTTTTTCCTACAGCTCTTCCTGATATATTTTCATGTGATTGCCTTTTCCAGAAGTTAATGTCTGTCCCAGTTGGCCATTTCTTCTGATGAGATGATGTCATGTCCCTTGATAGGTTTCCATGGGAATTCGAAAAGTTAATATTTATGTGGAAAAAAGAATAGCAATGGCACAAGGACTGTGTTATTAAGAACCTCAAAGGGGGAGTTCTGGAAAACAACCATTTCTAAAGGGATTGTTACCGAGATAGCAGAACGGCTGACTCCAAAGACAAAGCACTAGAAGAAAGGGACTGTCAGACTTCAGTGGAAATTAATGCAGAAGGAACTTTTGATCTAAATGGAGTGTTGGATGAGTAGATCTGCTAGAATAATAAAAAAGGGAACCAATGTCAGTGGCATTTTGTCGGAAGAAGAAAATGAAATGCTTCAATTGAAACAATTTCTTGGTTAAAGCCTCCAGATCAGTCTGATCACTAGACCTGGAAATCCAAACACTGGCTGTGAAGACCCCTGGGCTGATGCATGAATCAATGTGTTGACACTGGAGGTGGTTTTAAAGCACAAACGGGAATTAGGTACCAAACTGCCTTTGAATGTCATATGCTACGTGGACAGTTGGTCTGACCCAGTGTGGCCACCATATTCTAAATCTGAGAGCCATTCACTGCTCCTTCTTTGGCAAGCTTTGCCGTAACCCATCCGTGGTGGGTTCCTCCTGGGGTTCTACCTAAAATTAGGTAGCATTGGGTCTACTGACTCTCCCACTCTGGGCCCCATCTCACATTGGGCTGCTCTTACAAGCTGCCAACCCAGCCTCTGTCCTGCATTTTCACCAGAATTCCCACTGGTAGGGACTCACCGAGCTGCAGATACAAGCAGGTTGACTGTGCCAGCCTCAGCATGAATAGACTCTAAAGGAAAAGCAGTGAAAAAAACCATTCGCTCCCCGGCGTGGTCCCCACAGCTGTCCCACGCTTCCCTGGTCACCGCACCGATGGGTATGAATTTGGTACCTACTTCACCCCTTGCTCAGTGAGGAGAGGGATATGCACACATGTGCTAAGCAAGCTGAAAGGCACACTGGGTTATCTTCAACTCCAGACTATGTTAAAGAGTGATGCTAAGTGATTACAAGGGTGAGCAAACAGATCAGAGCAGGTCTCCTGCAGACACCCAGCAACACCAAATAAGCATAACACATGGGCTGGACTATGAGCAAGCTGTTCCTTACCCTGATGGACAATACCAGCTCTGTGGCAGATTCGCTGCTTGGGTGTATCAAGTTGCCATCGCAGGCTAGGAAACACTCTGACCTGGGCCCAGCATTTCCTCAACCTGGGTCTTTGTCCCTCAGATTTTTCCAGGAGGCCTCTTGTGTGGAGAATGAAGAAGAACCGACAAGATCTTTCCCGGCCTTTTATAGCTTTAGGACAGAGCGGGGACCTTGTTCTTTCACAGTTTGGTTCCCAGAGCAATTTGTGGAAAAATACAGCTCTCCCAAGATGGCCCGAAGACACTCGGGGCCTAGCCACCTGCCCTTGTAGTGCCATAGCAACCGTTCTTCACCGGCTCTCTGGAGTGTTCTCAGGAGGCTCGCCAGGTGGGAGAGAAGCATCTCGTAAGGACTGTTGTCTCCCTGAATGGCTTACGATCGTGAATAGGCCCTTACCAAACAGCTCCCTAGATTGAACACCTCTTCCCTATCAGGCATCACCCATTAAAAATAATAATATGCAGTTGATATTCTTAACTTCCGTTACAGAAACCATGGCGGCAAACAAACAGGATAATCATGTTCAGCAAACTGTCACTTTTCCAGTGATGCCGTAAAGGATCCACCTTGCACAAAATGCCTCACAACTACGCTGTGATCATAACACAATAAAGAATATGATGTGCACTGTCAGCTCATCTTCCTTCCTTTACCCTGCCCCTGGATTAAACAAGCAGGCATATTCTTTTTGACTCGGTGGATGCCTGACCAAGTAATTTTCTTTTATAAACCAGGTTATTTCATGTTGACTGTGCGGCGTCAGCTTTCTCTCTGATTATCTAGTCAGCTGCTCCAAGCACTGTAGGTCTCTAAACTCAACTTGAAGCCTGCTTTTTGCAGTCACGTGCTTTAGGGGGCTAAGGATTCTGTCTGCAGCCTGATATCAGGCATCGGGACATGAACACCACGGAGTTCCTCCTCCTTACTCATCTACTGGGCCCAGTCTGAGAGGGGAGCTCACCTGAAGAGCTGGGCTGGAAGGAGATGTTAGATTTAAATCAAGCCTTCTATCCTCTTAGAAGATTGCAGAGAAGAAACAATCCCCCGGCAGAGTTCCCTTTCTCAGCCCAGCTTTCGGAGCTCACCCAGTAATAACGAAATCATGCACAGAGGTAACAGCGACTGTAAATCTTTATTTACTGGGGTCATTTGGTGTAGGGAGGGAAGGAAGGATGAAAGATACTGGAGAACAGCCATGATGTACAAACACACTCAGGCTGCTGAAAGAGGGATAATCAATGTGTTGCCCAAAAATGGACACGGAAGATGCAGCTGATGGACCCAGAACCCAGGGATGGTATTGATCTAGCACCCTATCTAAATCTATCTAGAAATCCCAACCTTAGCCCCTTTTTGTGCTGTCTTCTTTAACTCAGATGTGCACCATATGTGGGTTTGTGCTTCTCTCTCAAAGTAACAAAACCCCAACAACCCAAGAATGTAGTCCCTCTGCTAGCAAAGCTAAGCTGGGACAGCCAAGACGTGCCGTGGTCCCGCCGCCCGCATCCTCCGTGGCTTTGCTCCGCGTCTCCCTGGTCTGCTGCCTCCCCCCCACCCAGCAGACCAGGGAGACACGGAGCGGCTTTTCTCAGCAGACACCTTAGCTTGAGAATAAAGGACTGAGGGAAGTGAGGTGTGGGAGAATAAAACTGAGCTCTGGAGAAATGTTTGGCTAGAGTTTCCCCTACAATATGTACCAGTTCCGACTTACATACAAATTCAACTTAAGAACAAACCTACAGTCCCTATCTTGTACGTAACCCAGGGACTGCCTGTAGCGGCGAGAAAAGCCCCATTCGTATGTAGGGATCCAACGTAAGTCGGATCCACGTAACTCGGGGACTGCCTGTATCACAAAAGAAATGCTCAATCTCTTTGGAATCACAGAACTGTAAATGGAAGAAGAAAGTATAGACTATGGTGTACAGTAGAAAGGCACTTATCCAGGACCCTGCCACTAGTTGGCCACACACCCCGCCGTTCATCAGAGCAGCGTAGCGGAGGGGTTGGCATATGGCTAAATACCAATCATAGGACATTGCCGCGAGCAGCAAACTTTCTGAAGCAGAAATAATACTAAACAAATATGATTGCACAATGCAGCCCTGAGCTGAGACAGCTCTATCCTCCGTCAGGAGACTGGCCAGCAGCCGGGGCAGGATGGCAGTTCTGTAACAAACAGAGATCCAGAAAGGACAAGTTCCCCACGAAGTAGTACATGGGGGTGTGAAGGTGCCGATCAGTCAAAACTAGTCCAATGATGAGAATACTCCCAGCCATTGTCACAATGTAGATCAGCAGAAATAATAGGAAGAGAAAGGGCTGCAGTTCAGGTCCATCCCCAAATCCTAGGAGGATGAATTCAGTAATTATAGTTTGATTTCTTCCTTCTGCTTTCTCCATAAGGAGTACCTAGAGACAGAAAATCATGACCTATTGATGGAGTGCACCCAGTCGGCTCTTGCAGCCGGTTTCATTGGGGTAGGTAACCTTGTACCAATGCAGCTCTTTGTTTCATGAATAATGTTGTCAATCAGCAAGAGAAAGTCTCGTATTCTTAAGAAGTTGTGCTGACGATATAGGTGAATGAATAGCATGAAACCATATTGAATTATAGAAATGTGCCATCTGACACTCATTAGCACTCCTCACCTGTAGGAGTCTTTCAGTCTGAGATTTTGAAATCACTTTTTATTCCAGTATCAGAGCAAGAAATCTAGAAGACATAATAAAAAAGAGATTAGAAAGGAGTTCAATCAAGGAGACAACTACCTTTTAGCTCATGAGTGGGCCATAAATTGGTAGTTGTTCTCCAGGTGTAGCACCTGGTGGGCCATTGCAACTATATTTACTTGTGCCCCCACAGGTAGAGGTGATCACAGCAGCAACCTATGTCTAACAGAAGCTATACCTATTGTCCACAGCTAGAAGAGACCTTGAGAGGTCATTGAGTCCAGTCCCCTGCCTTCATGGCAGAGCTAAGTACCCTCCCTGACAGATTTGCCCTAAAGCCATAAACAGTCTCCCCAGAATTGAACTCACAACCCTGGATTTAGCAGGCCAATGCTCAAACCACCAAGCTATCCCTCTGCATAGCCATATATGTACAGGTAAATATGGTGGGAGTGTGGGAACCCCATCAAGGGCTAACCCAGACAGACTGGATCCAGTCCACAGACTGGTATTTCCCCAACCATGTTGTAGGTCATATGTGTCATTCCCAGTTTCGGTCGATGTACAGGCATGAGCTTTGATCAAGCTAGCAAGATAAAATAAGTTGTGAGAACCCAGCAGAAAAGGCTGTAGTTTGGGATAGCCACCTGTGTGTGTTCCTAGGATCTCAGACAGGATTGTTCACAGAGAGAGAGAGATTATTTATCTACCCAAATGTTATGAGCTGTAAAATAGATCAGTTTCAAAACAGTAGCAGATCCTTGCTGTTAAACTGCAAGTATCAGTGCCAATAAATCTGAAAACTCTTATTTACTTTTCCCTGCAGACGTTGGGATATCTCGTACGTTGTAATCTCTTCATCCACTGACTTACAATGTGCCCATATACACACTGGGTGTGGCAATAATACATTGACATGGGTTTATCCATCTGTATTTCCATAACCTATACTTACCCCATTCGCTCTAGAATCACTTGAGGTGCTAGTTGTCATCTTCCTCATCACCTGCCCCTTCCCCATCATCACCAGGGGCCTCACTCTGGCACCTGCCAAGGACGACATCTTCTTCCCCTACTGCCCCTCGGTGGAATGCCATTTTTATCACATTACGCTGATGTTGTCGTGTTTGATGCATATTCAGTCGGAAATTTCCTTTTCTCCTTCTATGTATTTCCTCCCCATACTAATAGGTAAGTGTCTTTTTCCAATATGTCAGTATGTCATTGAGCTCAACTTATTATCATGTGTGTCAATTCGTTACCATAGAGGCCTTTGTGGTTGTCTATCCCATTTATTATTTCTGTCCTACCCAGATATCAATGCTCTACAGCCAAAATGCTTCTGAAATAAAGGTAGTCAAACTTTACTAACTCTGGGTCATGGAGAACGAAAATGATGCTTAAAATTGTTGATTGGCTCTAGTTTTCAAGATATGCTATTGGGTCAGTATATACGACCCTTGACTTGCGAATGGCGGAGGATACGTGAGTTATAAAGGGAAGGGATCTCAATTTAAACCAGAAATGACTAAAATACATCTTTGACTGGATCTATGAATAAATCTATGACTGGGTTTGGACAGTACTTGCTTTTTAGGCAAAACAATGAATGATGCAATCTGAAGCTGGTATTGCATCATACATGATATGAATTGCATCATGTTATTCCTAGAAGTCATGGATGATGCAATCATAATGAAGCTTACATCACTCTGCTGAACAAATTGCCCTATATCAGCTCTAGAAATCATACAGTGTCGTGCTCTCTTATTTGTCAGTGTTTGATTTTGCAAAGGGACACATTTCTGTTTAGCCAAAGTGAGCAGAGATGCCTCGTACTTGTGTGAACAGGTGCTATTCCCCGTGGAATGAGGTTTACCAGTTTTGAAATAAGCCTTCCGCTATTTCAAATTAATTTGGAAATAGCAGTTGGCTTGTGTAGACTCTAGGAAAGTTATTTCTAAATAACGGCTGTTATTTTGAAATAACTTTGCTGTGTAGACATACCCTTAGTCTGTACAAAGGGCGAGGGAGAGGTTCAATTATTCTCCATCATGCTGTTAATCCTGTTTGCTGATGACCCTTGTAGTTCGATATGGTGATTAGATACAGTCATGTATCCAACTTGAGCCCTGTTGCTTAAACAGATCGATTGTGGTAACTATCTGTACAGCATACTCCAAGAAAATAATCCAAGAAACACTGCAGTCTACAAAACAAACCTACAACAATATCCTACGGAGAGTTATTCTTTCTGTTATGTCATAACAAGAAACTTGGTTAAACTGAATAGAGGGCTAACTCCTGTTTGCCATCTTCCTATCAATTTCCACTGAACTGGTGTTTTGTGCAAGAAACTAAACAGTATTAAAAATCCCCTAATTTGAGGATCTAAAGGTGGTTAATTAAAAAATATGCCACTGTTAAAACGTTATCTCCAATATTGTCTATTATAATTAGTTTATGATAATCTTTAATTCCCCTTTTTTTATTCTATAACTGTTCTCTCTCACTCTATTTAGACTAGCTAAGAGACATAACTCCTAACCACTATCCTACACAAAACCTTTTATTTCCTTATGTGTATTTTTCTTTGACAATAAAGAGACTATCTCTGTAGGGCTAGGAGGGGAGGGTTTGAATTGCAATTTATTGTTGTGAGGAATCCTCATAAGCAGACAGTCAAAGCAAAGAATATTACCCCACATAAGAATAGAGGAAGTTATTTTCATTCTCTAGCTATACATCTATGTACCATCTACACAACATTTGGTGCAATAGCGTGATACATTGACAGCACCTCTCACAGTTACATGCACTTTGAACCCAGCTCTTACTTATGTGTGTAATATACAATATGTGCAGTGTGCATCTGACTCCAGAATATCCAGGTGAAATTCTCTGGACATCAGACCAGACAATCAAAATGGTCCCCTCGTGCCTTGTAATCAATGAATCTGTGCTGTGCGCCGTGGGGTTCTCATGCAACCCGCCAGCACAGAGCTCCACACCTGTCCGAGGGTAAAGGCAGGGAGGAACCATCTCCCAGTATTGTTATGGAACCTGGTCAGGTCAGGCATTGGAAGATCTGTCAGAGTCTGACCATTCAGAAGTGCTGGGGAATATTGGTTAGAATTAGGAGAAATGCATCCGACAGCCAAACAAATCCCAGCCCAGCCCTTCCCAGAACCTCACGTGCTGCACTTGGCTGGCACAGCAGCAAAAGGAGAAACCCAAATGGACTTCTCTGTAACTCATTTTGGAAGATTTCCAGTTTGAATATTCTAGTGAAAATTGTTAAATTTGCCCCAGAATAGGTGAATGTTTTGTGAAATATTTACCATTTTGAGCTATTTTTTTCCCTTTGACATTTCTAAATTTGAAGGTTGAGCCCTGGAGATCCACGGATATTCCTTTCATATCTGTGGGTATCTATCAATTGCTCATGTGGGTGTGGATATCCAGCATTCATGTTTGAGGATAGGGATGCAAATAGAAATGTTGTATCCACACAGGGCACTAAAGACAGAAAATCAAGATTATACTTGAACTAAATATACTTATTTGAGTGATGGAAACTTCCTTCCTACTAAGATTTCTTTCTCTAAAAACATTTCTCTTCCAATTTTCCTGACAGATTTAGAACAGGTCATCATTTTGCAATGACCCTCCGTTAAAAAGTGAGGGTCCTCAGGAGAAACTGCAATGAAATATTAATGAATTTCCCTCTTTTGCACCTTTCCAATTAACTCTCCTTTTCATTCGCTAATATCTCTGGCTGTGTGAGAACAAGGCCTTTCCGACAGTGTTTCGAAAGGCTCCGTGCACATCTTTGTTCCTCAGTGTGTATATTATGGGGTTCAACATGGGTGTCACAACTGTGTATATGATGGAAATCAATTGATCACTTTCTGGGGTGGAGCTAGACGTGGGTTTTATGTAACTCAAAAGGCCAGTTCCATAAAGCAAAGTCACCACCGTGAGGTGGGAGGAGCAGGTGGAGAAGGCTTTATGCCTCCCCTCTGCCGAAGGCAGCCTGAGGATGGTGGAGATGATGCGGACGTACGACAGGACTATCAATAAAAAGGGGCCTATAATGAACAGAGCTAGCACAGAGAGGCCCACGATCACATTCTTTCTTATGCCTGTGCAGAGCATTTTCTCTAATGTTGGGGCACAGCAGAAATAATGGTGGATGCGGTGGGAGCCACAGAAAGACTGACTGAAGAGCCACGTGGTCTGAGCTACTGCCACTGACATACTGATGAACCACGAAGCAGCCGCGAGCCAGGCACATACCCGAATGCTCATGATGGTGGTGTAGTGCAAGGGGCGGCATATGGCCATGTACCGGTCATAGGCCATCGCTGCAAGGAGACAACATGCTGTGAGACCCGTGATGTCAAAGACATACACCTGGGCTGCACAGCCCCGAAAGGAGATGGTCTTTTCCTCCACCAGGAGGTGAACCAGCAGCTGAGGGGTCACGCTGGTGGTGCAGCAGATTTCCAAGAAAGACAGGTTCACGAGGAAGAAATACATGGGGGTGTGGAGGGAGGGGTTCAGTTTTATCAGCAGGATAACGAGCAGGTTCCCCATCAGGGTGAGCAGGTAGGTGACAAGAAACACCAGAAACAGAAGGATTTGCAGCTTGTTTAGGTAGGAAAACCCCACCAGGATGAAGACATCAGAGATGGTCTGGTTCTCGCCAGCATGGCTCTCAGAATTGCTCATCTGCAGGGGAGACAAAGGCAGACACTGAACGTGAGGGAAACCCAAAATGTGAGTGTGAATCAAACAATGCGAACTGGTTTCCTTACCTTCGGGATGCTTGAGAGTAAAACCTGCTGCAGTTCCGTATGTAAATACGTAACTGGGACCAATCTTCATCAAGCATCAGCTGCTGTTGCTGTTTGCATGTGAAGCAAGCGATGGCAGAGTAGGTTGGCTGGAGGAATGACCACTCTGACACCAGTGGAGCTACAGCTGATCTACAACAGAAGGGAGGTGGTGAATTGACACTAGACACATCTACACTTCCCTGAAGGTTGACGCTCTGGAGGTCGATCTTCTGGCATTCGATTTAGCAGGTCTAATATAGATCTGTGAATTAAACACTGAGGCAGCTCCCACTGGTGTCTGCTGCTCCTCCTTTTGTGGGGAGTAAGGGAAGCCAATGAGAGTGTTTGCTCCCATCAGCTTCTCACGCTGGGGCCATTGCCAAGGCATTTTGTGTTGCTGGACTTGTGTACCTTAATCCAGCTTGCCAGGTCTAGTGTAGACCCTGCCTGAAGGAACAGACACACTAACACAAAACTCAAAGGGAATCTTAGGTTATGTCTAGACTACGGAGTTTTTCTGGGATACCAGAGAATGCGTCTGCTTTTCCACTTTTTTTTGTGGAAGAGCAGATGCACGCTTTTGGAAGCCCCTGTCATCTTCCTTACACGAGGAAGAAGGGCTCTTCAGAAAGAGGAGGTTTTTCTGAAATTTGGCCCAGTGTAGATGGCTAAATTTCAGAAAAGCCTCTTCCAACAAAACTATTAGAAAAAGGTACACAAATTGCAGAGTGCAACTTGCGTACGTTTTTCTGATAAAACATTCAAACATTCACTAGACATAGTCAGAGAGAATAAAATCAAACCAAAACAAACATTAGGGGTGCACTATGCAAAGGGCAGGGCACAGAACAAGTTAAATGAACAATTGAAAAGAAATATTCTCAAATACAGAGACCTGGACGAGAGGAAAGAATTCTGCCTGTCATATTTTGGGGAACAGATTAACCCTTGTGAGCACTGTCCTCAGCATGACCATTGCAGTAAATGAAGAGCTGGTTGGGACACGGAATTTCTATCCCCTGTTCCTGAATAAAAACCCGAAATTCAAGAGGACTCAACATAAAATTGAATGCAAAATTGAATACTGCCATCAACATCCTTTTTTTCCTCATTGAAAAGGTCAGTAGAGAAAAAATATTTTTTTCTGTAGGGATTTTAATTTATTTATTTGTTGGCTGACAATTGGACCAGTCCTACAGAAAGGGAGAAATTTATTCACCGCTAGGAATAAGGTCTGTGCAGACTCTTGTCACTGGCAGATGCATGATATTTTCAGAACACTTCAAAGTATCCAGACATTCCATTTATAAACAGGAGAAAGTGATGAAGGAACCAGATATTATGTGGAGAGAGAGTTGACAATTCAGCTGACAGACTCCACTGCGTAACTCTTGGGGCCCGGGGACAGAGAATGCACCATGATGGGATCATGGGAGGGGATTCTCTTGCTGGAAAAGATCAGACTGAGCCCACCCAGCTGGCTGCATCCAGACTCAGATACAGACCCACCTTAATGACCAGCATTTCTACAGTGGATGATGAAGAGAGTTTGGGAACCAAGTAAAGAGAAGAGAAGAGAGAAGCCAGACACGGGAACAATAATGTTTAGAGTCATGGTGTCCAATATGATAGGCATGTCCAGTGCACATCTATCAGTCTGGTGGGCAGCGTGGACTGCTCGCTGGATTTGACACAGATAGATAGATAGATAGATAGATAGATAGATAGATAGATAGATAGATAGACGTGAACACACTCAGAACCCACATTCTCAGACACAAAATAAGACTCCTTGTGCATGTATGCAAAATTCAGATATAGAAATCAGAGACATGATTTTGCTCTAAGCGCAGATCAGGGCAGGATGTGGGAGAATGGTTGAGGGCTTAAGTCTTGGATTTTTCACCTACCTTGTGTAAGAAGCACAGAGCCATCTCCTCGGTGCAGAGTCTGCACAGTGTGCAAGGAATCAGAGGGGTTTTTATTTCATTCGATTACTTGTGATATTCCTTGCGGGTGGAACAACAGTCTCTCAAATGGCAACAAAACAAAACTCACAAGATCAGTTGTGTGTCAGGAATTTGCACCATGCTCATCCACATCGTGTGGTTTCAATGTGGTAAATTAAGGGACACGATTTTTGTCTAGAAGGGGAAATGATCAGTCCAAGGTCACACAACATAAAGACTCAGGGGCAGAGGCAGGAACAACACTCAGGGCTCACAACTCCAGTTCCCTGATGCTTAGACTCTAGGCCCCAGTCTTGCTCAGAGCTCTGACTCCCAGCCCCACCTGCTCTAACCATTACACCTCACTCAGCTGACTCCCAGGCCTTCTGCCCTAGAATCATAGAGTCATGGAATCCCAGGGCTGGAACGGTATGTCTAAACTACATGGCTCCGTCAACGCAACCATGTAGATGAGTTTACTAGACATAGGAAAATGAAGCAGCAATTTAAATAATCATTAATAATTTAAATTAATTTACATCAAAATGGCCGCCGCACTGTGCCGATCAGCTGTTTGGCGGCACAGCGGGGCAGTCTGGACGCACCGCAGTCAACAAGGGAAACCTTTGTTGACCGCTCTGTTATGCCTCATGAAATGAGGTTTACCGGAGCGGTTGACAAAGGCTTCCCTTGTTGACTGCGGCGCGTAAATAATCATTAATAATTTAAATTAATTTACATCAAAATGGCCGCCGCACTGTGCCGATCAGCTGTTTGGCGGCACAGCGGGGCAGTCTGGACGCACCGCAGTCAACAAGGGAAACCTTTGTTGACCGCTCTGTTATGCCTCATGAAATGAGGTTTACCGGAGCGGTTGACAAAGGCTTCCCTTGTTGACTGCGGCGCGTCCAGGCTGCCCCC